GGGGCTGGGAATTTATTTTCCTAACTCTGTTGATTGCTGGCCCTGGGGGCAAGGGGGGGGCGGGTCAAGGAAAGAACAAATGTTCCATTTTATTTTTTTATAACCACAATGATCGTCCAAGGGGAAAAATATCAACATTTTTACTTCTCAGAAAGACGTGCCCACGGGGAGAGTTTCAGTTCCCAGCATCACTAAACTTTGTCCCACTGAACAAAACAGAGAAACTGCACTAATAAAAAACAGTCATGGTGACTTTAAATGTTTATACATAATGTGTTCTGAGCTCCGTGCTGGGACAAACACTGTGCACATAATAAGTCATGGTCAGACTCAATAAAAGTGGATGAGGTAGCAAACTGTTATCCCCATGCTCAGGATGAGGAAACTGTGGCACAGAGAAGTCAAGGAGTTTGCCCAAGGTCACACAGCTAGTGAAGGGCAGAGCAGAGACTTGAACCCAAACCGTTAAGCTCTTAAGTCCACGCTGTAACAACACGCCCTGCCTCGGACAGGTTGTTCTGTGGAGAAATACGCCAGTCCATGATGTAAGGACACAGGGTGCTTAGTCCAATCCTGTGAGGACCCAGCGTGGCCACTGCTGGGAACGTCCGAGGTCAGGCTGTGGACCACCGGGCATCCCTGACCACACCCGCATTGCCAGCTGCATGCAGCCGAAAGACATCACTGAGAACTGGCAGCCAGGACCCCACCCTGGGACTAAGGGTGTGAGGTCCGTGGGGAGGAACCGCTAGGGCAGCAGTGAGTGACAGGCCCATCACTGCGTCCACTGGGCCCGCCAACGCCGCTTTCCCTTTAGGGCCTGGAAGAAAGAGCACTCAATTCCATCAGCCCAGGGACAAGGAGGCGAACTGTCCCCGACTCTGGCCTCCTCAAGCCCACGTGAAGGCTATCCAGGAGCCGAGTCTGGAGAAAGAGGCTGAAGGCAGCCACACACTGCGTCACCGCGTCCCCTGGCCCCACTCAACTGCACTGACGGCTCCCCAGGAGGACAGGGTGGTTGGAGACAGACACCCCGCCATGCTGCTGATGACGGACAGCACGGTTCCCAACCTCAGGATGCTCGGAGGCTGAGACAGAAGACGTGAAGCCTGCTCCCCAGCCACCAGGCAGGTAGGAGACTCTTCCCTCTCTGGGCCTCGGGTTCCTCGTCTGTGAAGTGGGTGCAGCTTTCCTTGCCTTCGCGATACGGCAAGGAAGAAATAAGGCAGCACGTGAGCCCTTGGCACGTGCCCATCTTGGAAACAGCCCTCGGTGAGCATCGGCAGCTCGCCACCCAGAAAGCCTCTTTCTGGAACATGGGGTCACTGTTCCACCTGGAGAAAGCCAGGCAGAAAGCGGGTCCCGCGTGCCAGCTCTAGGGATCCACAGGGAACCTTAAAACCACGTTGCCATTTAGGAAATGTGCTCTTTCATGTTTGCAGAAACACACGATGTGCCCAGCTCAGAGCAGACACCCCCAATTCAAGTTCCTTTACCTGTAGGTCGTAAATCTAGCGCGTGGCCTCCGAATGCAAACAGGTGCTGTGTTCAGAAGGCGTGGTGTTGTGCCAACGGCGGGGAAAGGGATTCAGAAGGAGCAAGATAAAAGTCTAAAGGTGGCCAGACTCAGCTCCAGGGACCACCTGACAGTAAGGCAGACCGGCAGGCACGGCTCACCTGTGCTGAGTTTCTACAGGTTGCGGGCAGGGGACAGTTCCCAACTGGTGGTACAAACAAGAGATCTTGCAAGTGGCTTTGAGCTGCTACCCAGAGCAGCCAGCTGCCCAGATGTTAAAGTCTTGTCCCCTTCCGGTCCTCCCCCTCTCTTCCACCCTCCCCCTTGAGCTAGGCCTCAGCAGGACACACAGGACCTCACATCCTGGTCAAGCCAAGGAACCCCACAGAATGCTTTCTGCCCAAAGGAGACGGGCTGCAGGTCGACTCAGGGACACAGGGGCAGCTTAGCAAGTCAGAGCCGGCCCCAGGAGCCGTGGCCTGCAAGCCGGGCTCACCCCACCACCAGGCCACCGGGCCACCAGGCCAAGGATGCACCCAGAGCCCTGCAGAGAAGCAGTGAGACGGCAGCTCAGGGGTCCCGGGCAGACGTTTCGGAACTCAGGAAGAGACGGAGGAGGGGGAGCGCTCGGTCACTCTGAGGTCAGAGCCCGCTGGCTGAGTCTGCTGCTGTGCCCTGGAGTGCCCCCACCACCCTCAGGATGACGCTGGAAGCAGCCAGAAACCAGAGCAGTGACAGTGGGCAGGGTGGTGACAGCCGCTCCAACCTGAAGAAGGTCAGGCAGGAGACTGAGCCCAGCAGCCTCCAATGGTCACTCCCTCCCAGCCAGGTCACTGCCACCTGACATTGGGGCTGTGGTGGGGGACAGAAGAAAAGGGAAGAAATGTTGGTTGGGGTCAGAAACAGAAGGTGCCTGGAGTCTTGTACCCTCCAGGAGTGGGATGGAGGGCCACAGGGAGGACATGGCTTCCCAAGCCCCGTCTAGGGATCTCAAGCTTCCCTGGTGGCCACCCCAGGGCTGGGACTGAATGAGAAGCAGCTCTGCTTCCTCCACGGCCCCACCAGGCCTCCTGCCCCACTGCTCCTATGAGGTCAGAGTTTGATGGCCCCCTGCACGCCCCGTTTCGCCCTGGCTGCCAACCATCTACACCTGCTCTTTAGGTCCCTTCCTGCTCCTGCCCCTCCTTCCATCCCCCGTTTAGCTCCTTATTAGTCCGTTCTCAAGAATCAACTTCTAAGGCTGAGCTTTGGCTCAGTTGGTAGAGTGCTTGCCTCACTTGCACAAGGCCCTGGGTTCAATCCCCAGCACTGCCAAAAAAATCAACTTCTTCCCCTAAGATGCGAGAGACGCATGGATGAGAAAGATAAACCCAGGTCATCACCAGGGACCTGGGCTCTAGGGGTCAACGTCCAGGCTTATCTTCCCCAACAGCATGACCCTGGACCTGCCAGCCACGCAGAGCATTTCCTTAGCCTGCGGAAACTGGTTAGGGTTTTAAAAATCATATGAAGAGATGGTTCAGGAAACGGCACATCGACCAGATCACCAACCCCTGGAGTAAGGGCCAGCCCCGCTCCACTCAGGCTGCAATGCCTGACACTCTGCAGAACACAGTGGGGGCCCGTGAGTATTGGGGGCCCACAGCTGCCCCTCTCTGGGGAGCAGATGTGGTCAACCCCACCGTGAAGCCCTGAGGCTGCAGATCAATTTGCGCTCACATCTAAGATCTCAAGGCAGTACCAGCCCAACTCCAAATGGCCGGCTGCCACGTGCCAGGGCTTGCTCCGGGTCCCTTCCACCCCCCTCCCCGACTTTCAACTTTGGGTTAATTATTCTTCTTTGTGATTCTTCGGGGGAAGTGTTGTCCGCCGAGACCACCGGGCATTCTTACTGTATGTTCCGCTGCTCTCTTGACATAGTTTCTAAAAAGGAGACGGAGGATTTCATGACCTGATTCAGGCCTCCAAAAGAGAGAAGGAAGCACGGGGAGGAATGTGAGAAACCAACCTGCCTCCCTACGGTAACCCAGGCAGGCAGGCAGGCGCGGGGAAGCAGCCCAGGAAAGGCCCCTTTCTGATGGAAGTTGATGCACCTGGGCCACTCCAGGGGAAATGACTCCACAGACGGATGGAGTTGGAGGTTCTCAACCTGCTGGACAAACCAGAATCTGGTTGGGGTGCAGAGCGGGGAGTTCAATACTCCTTTCTTCTCTTCCAAAAGCAGCTATGCTCCCTTTTCCACGCCCAGACACACTGCCCGGCCCAAGGAAGGGTGCTTTCCCTGTATTGACTTATTTAACCATTGTAACAGCCCTATGAATGGTGCCCAGCATCCTCATTCTACAGATGAGGAAGACATCTGAGAGGCTGAATAACTTGCCTGAGGTCACACAGCTTCTAACAAGTGAAGTTGGGACTTTGACCCAGGCAACCCAGCTCTGAGCCCTCACTTACGCATTGCATGAACTGCCTCACATCCGGTCTTAGAAGCCAGATGGAGTTTGACCTCTCCACTGAGATGCACTTCTCTGAGTACAAAGAAATTAAGGCCTGGAAGCTCCAGGCAGCCCCAAGTCCCACCATCTTGTTTTGCAGCTGGAGACAGACACCGGGGAAGGGGGGAGGGTCTGCGGTTTCCAAGATCATGCAACCAACCACCAGTGGAGGCACCCAACAACTCAGGCTCCCAAACTCCTGATACAGTGCTCTTCCCAGCACCTTCCTGAAATACCAGGTGAAATGCACGATTAACACTTTAACACCCAGGAAATCACTGGAGGAGCACAAGGCCTCTCTTGCGGCACGAAGGAGCGCTGAACAAGCCGGAACACGCATCCTAGTCCTTAGGTGAGTCCCAGAGTTGTCACTCACGGTCTCCAAGCCTTGAGGAGGCCGCCCCTGCTGTCTTGGTGACCTCAGGCACCTCCTAGCAAGATGGCAGACGTGGGCCAACGCTGCAGCCCAGGTCAACTTTTCCCTCCCGAATTAAACCTGAGCCATTTGGAAAACGAATCCAGGGGCAAAGGTCAAGGGATGCCCACCGCAGAGTCAAGGGCTGAGCGGGCGAATCCGGGCATCTAATTTACTCCAAATCAGCCAGCCAGGCACGGCCCCAGCCCAGGGACAGAGAGAGGCAGGTGGACAGAGACCAGTCCAGGCTGGCACCTGCCCCCCAAAATGGCCACAACAGCCAGCACATCATCATGTCCCTCCTGACGCACCTTCCTCCACCCTTCGGCCAGCCACCAAGAGCACCGGCAAGGACCCTGGCTCATCACGCCCAAGTGGCACATTCGGTCTCAGCCAGCCCCAAAACTTCATCATTTAAAGTGATAAAGGCCAGGCAGTGGTGTCCCTGCTAGTTCATTCTCACGCCCCACATGACATCAGGATGGAGAAGAGACCGTTGGGGGACACTCACAGACCTCTGCTCTGGGAGGACTCGGCTCCCCACTGGCTGGGCACATACCCCAGAGCTTCCTACCTGCTTCCATGAGCTGGCACTGCTGACCAAAGACGTGGGAGAAGGTGACAGGGCCTGTGGCAGCACTGGATGTCGCCAGCGTGGATTCCATGGCTCTTTTGGGGTCTCAGGTGTTGGTCATGTGGCAGGGTCCAGACCCGTAGAGTATCCGAGCAGAGGACTTGGACCGACCCCCGGTCCCTGGAGGCTACTTGTCACCTCCGAGAAAACGTCCCCGCCCCCAAAGTTTATAGCGCTCCTCGCTCTGCCCGCCCTGTCCCCGCGGTCTCTGCCAGACACCAGTCAAGTGAGGGCTGAGTCCCCGGAGCGCTGGCCGCTGGGGCGCCGCGGCGGGAGTCAGATGTAAGACACAAATCCAAG